AAGCAGCCAAAAGGCCAGTTTGACTGAAATAGAGATGTGTGAAATAACAGTGGAAAGGGAGTTATGAGCCAGATTATAGCTGGTCTTTAAACACCAGGCTGAAGACTTTGTATTTTCTAGAGCAGGACCACACAACCTGCGGCCCACAGGCTGCTTATGGCCCTCCCCAGCCACTTGCAGCTCACCAACGATTTCGGGGGGCCTGTGAAAAATGTGGAGGAAAACATCCTTTGTATGTAAAGGAAATCCTTTGGCGAGCCGCAGGTTGTGCAGATCTGTTCTAGAGGCATTTTTTTAGATATGTGTTTTCTATATACTTTATATATATTTGTTGTCTCCCCCAACTAGACTTTAAATACCTTGAGGTCAGGGACTATTTTTGCTTTTACTTTTGTATCCCCAACATCTAGTACAATCTCTGATACATGGTGGGCACTTAATACATTTTGTTTGTTGATTGATTGAAATAGCCTTCATGTTAGCAGGAGCCATCACATAGCCTGAACGATCACCTAAAGGCATACCCTTGCATTTCCCTGTAATTACCCAGAATGAATGGTATTCACAGGTCTTGAAAACACTTGTGCTTTAGTGATACCAAATTCAAAAACAGTTTTGAGACAAAGCATGAACCATTAAGGTGAATTAGAGGAAATCCTCCCCCCAGAATCCATGTAAGTAAATGAAACCTCGCTTCTATATCTAGTTGGCTTGAGCCCAAGCCACATCTCCTTTACACTTCCCGTGAGAACACGAGGGCCTGGCTAGCACTGCCCTCCTGCCAACTGTTCAGCCCCTGCATGCATGCCTCTCCTTTTGCGAATAACAGCTCAATTAACATTGCCTTGCTGCAGGGAAGGACAGATGGATCCTGGACTGTCCTATGGCTCTACTCAGAATTCCTGTGATGCAGAGTAGTAAACTGTCTAGGCAGAAATTCCATTCTTTTGCTACCACTCCCCATTCTCTACTTTATCCAAGTCAGTAGGCCTCTATCCAACTCTGCCTATCCTTTTCATTGTGTCCTATTGAACCTTTTTTTTTTTAATTGCCCTTCATTTTAGAAGGAATCTTTTCTTTTCCCATTTCCTTTCATTCATTGTAACCTGGCTGTCTCCTAATTGGCATTGCATCCCTGGCCACTCCCTCCAATGCTGTTTGTACCTTCTCTTATGGTCCTCTAACATGCTGAGTTAGTGATGGGGGTAGGGTGGGGCAGGGAATAGGGATGATACTCATTACTCCTCACTTCAACTACCAAGACCATCCCCTAAAGTTTTCACTCATCAGACTCTCATTTGAGGTTCATCTACCCCAATTCATCACCCTTTCCAAATCCTGGTGACAAGTATCTACCAGCTCCCAAATTATTCTCCCTTTTTTCCCAAGGAGGGGATTCTCAGAGAGCCATCACTATTCTGACCTTATTTTCCTCTCTTCATAATCTCTTACTAAATCTTTAGTTAACCAGTTCAGTTTGACACTATGCTACACTACTGATAATTCCTTATCCCCTGTGTCCCACTGATACTCATGTTTTGCCAAGCCTCACCCCTAGATTGCGTTCTCTGTCTGTATTCTCTACTCCGGTTCACAGGCACTGAGTACAAATGGAAGAAGTTAAATGACCGTAATAACTGGGTCCATGAAAAACGTTTGTTATCCGATCTCGGCTACAGTCTCACTGCCACATGCCATTCCTTTTACTGTGATTGGCTGTCTCAGTTCCCACGGAAGCTATTCCAAACATTGGCCTTTCTTCTCAAACTATCACTTCCTCCCAACTTCAGCCAAGTACCTTTCCTCATACTTCACTAAAAAAAAATTGAGGTCATCTTGGCTCATGCTTCTTTCTCAATTCCACACCTCACATCGCCTCAGCATCATCCCCTATTCTCTAGTTTTTATTACTGTGGTCTCTGAAGAGATAGGTCTCTTTGCCAAGGTCAAACCTTGTGCTTGTGCCCTTGATCCCATCTCCTCCTGTGAAATCTCCTGGCCCCTTGTCATTTTATCACTCATATATTACCCAATTCCAACCCTGGAGTACTCCCACCATCTATCTCTTTCCTCCCCTCCTACTTGGTTAGTTGTTGTCCTTCATGCTTGAAGAGGACCAAAATGACATCACTGTGTTGGGGTTAAGGTGCAGTGTGTCCAGCTGTGGTTGATCAGACCATTACGAACTCTGAAGGCTCCACCACAATTTGGGTACAAATAGTCCATATGAACATTTGGAGTGGAGATTTACACATCTCTAAATTTACACATCTTGTGTTTCTTTTGAGTTTCTGCAATTTGCTTTACTCATAGAGCACAGTGCCTTCTTTGATGCAGGCACACCATGCTGGGTGGTCCTATGCCAGTGTCTCCCATATCTCACAATAAATTCCAAAGTTCTTTAGAGAGACCTTGAGAATGTTCTTGTATCACTTCTGACTGCTGTGTAAGCTCTTGCCTTGTTTGAGTTCTCTGTAGAAGAGTCTTTTAGGCAACATGGCCAGACCATCAGAGTTGTACTCTTTGCAGTAGAGTTTAAATGCTTGGCAGTTCAGCCCAAGAAAGGACTTCAGCATCCAGTACTTTATCTTGCCAGGTGATCTTCAGAACCTTCCTAAGACATTCAGATGGAAGCAGTTTAGTTTCTTGGCATGGCACTGGTATTTACATTTCACAGGCATACAACAGTGAGGTCAGCAGAATGGCTTCTACTAATGAATGGCACTGGAGAATTGTGCTAAGTTAATGATCCAGTCCACTGCCAGTTTATGTTTTCTAATTTTGGCTGGGCCTCCACTTCATTAAAGCAGTCTTATTATTTCTCCCTAATCTCTATCACGTTTCCCTCAATAGCTGTTCCAAACCTTATCTTCTTTGCTCAAATTTATCATGCCCCATACTCCCTCCCTCTACACTCACACAGCAGAGTACCTCACCTCATATTTTACTGAGAAAACAAAGGTCATTTGCCTTTAGCTCCCTCCTCTCTCCTACAATAAATACATCTAAGAACTCTTTAATATTATTCTTCATTCTTTTGTCTTCAATTCATCTTTGATTAGGAGGTGGACCTTCTTGCCAAGATCAGCTCCTAGTCAGTCATAGTCAGTCATAGATTTACAGTTAGGTCCTATCTAAATTTAACTCCTTATTTTATAGATAAGGAAATTGAGGCTGAAAAAGCTTAAATGACTTGCCCAGGGTCACACAGCTAGCAATTGAGGCAGAATTTGAATCCATATTCTCCTGATGCCAATTACAGCTTTCTATCTATTATACAATAATACCTTTGATCTCACATCCTCCGTCTCTTCCAGCCGATTGACCCCAGAAACATCCCTTTATTTTCCCTAATCTTTGGTATACTTAGATATACTAGTTCCTTTTCTTCTTCCTACAAACATGATCAAGTTTCCCCTAATCCTTGAAAAGCCCTGACTTGATATTACCATCACATCAAACTATTATATTATTCCATTTTACAACTAGTTTGGGGTGGGGGAGAATTGTGCTTCTACTTTTTCTCTTATTCACTCTTTAATCCCTTGATATTTGACTTCCAGCCTCATCACTCAGCCAAAGCTGTGGAACGAAACCAATTTCTCCAAAGTTACCCTTGATAAATTGCCAAATCTGATAGTTTTTTCTCATTCCTCATGCTTCTTGACCTCCCTACAGATCTGAAACTCTTGAGCACACCCTCTCTTGGTTTTCTGCCTTGGTTTCCATGACATTGCTGTCTCATGATTCTTCTTCTTACCTGTTGGCCCCCATTCTAGTCTCCTTTGCAGTATCATCATCCACATAATACCTCATAAATCCTTATTTCAAATCCTATTGCTTTTTGCTCCTTTGCTTTATTTATAAACTGTATCAACCAAACTTACCTTTCTGGTAAGGGAGAGTGGCCTTTGGTGAGTTGAAGTACGTGATTATTGTCTTCATGATACACCCAGAAGTCTGACAAGAGGCCTGTATGAGGTTTTGGTGCACCACAAAAGAGTCCTGGTATTACAGTCCTAGCTTGAATTCGTGGCTGTTTATAAGTCATACTATCTTTCTTGTCTATAAAACAGAAAGTTGGACTGAATGCCTTCCTGTTCCCTTTGGGCTCTAAATCTATAAAGTTTTCATATATAACTATATTTTAGTATTCTAGAAAGAAGATTTTTTTACATTGGATTTTACTAATTTCTTCGTCATCAATCTTCTGCTAAAGTTTTACTCCAGGACTTCATGGTAGCCTGGAAGTGAGTTTTGGAAAGCTGTACTAGCAGAGTTCAAGTTCTGGCAAGGTTGTACCATGATTTCTTTGCTTTGATCTATATCAGATATGGGAATATCTAATGAAATCATAGAGTCTTTAAAAAATTTACCAGCAGTAACATTCACGTCCTTGGAATTATATTCCAGTTCTGCCAAACATAATGTTGATAGAGATGGCTATGGCTAGCTTTGCTCAGCATCTTAAGGACATTTTATCTAAAGCATTAAAATAACTTGTTATAAAGTTTTTATGTGTTTATAATAATTATGTTGAGCTTAATTATGTTTTTTATTCCTGGCAGTTGGCATAATATTATTTAGTTAAAGGGAAGTGAGTAAGGATTTTGAGAGATTGTGTACCCCAAGAGTAAATCAGCCACCTTTTGGAAGAAGGAATAGTTATGTGTTCTTGTGTTTTTTGATGTCTGATTCTAATTTTGTTATCCTTTTTACCATTTTGTTTTAGGATTCTGGGTTGCTATTTCCATAGTTCAGTTTCATTTTTATCCCACTCCCCCCACCCCAATTTGTATGATTATCAGTAAGAAAAAAAAAACTGAAAATGATTAGTAAATATTGATCGAACAGCCAAGGACTATTATTATTTATTGCCTGTATTTCTTCTTTGTTAATTTTGTCAGTTTTCTTATGTTTTCAGGTGGCCATGCAGTTTAATGAACATCAATAGAAAAGCTGGCTATTCCTTTATCTTTGCTTATTTTCTTCCAACCTAGGTAATAACCTTGACGCCATCCATGACATCACTGTGGCATACCCTCACAACATTCCTCAGACAGAGAAACACCTCTTAAGTGGAAACTTCCCCAAGGAGATCCACTTTCACATCAGTAGATATCCACTGGAAACCCTTCCAGACTCCAAGGAGGAGCTTCAAGTCTGGTGCCACAAGCGATGGCAAGAGAAAGAAGAACGGCTCCGGGCGTTCTATGAGGGGTCGAAGAGCTTTGAATTCACAGGGAAGAGTGTGATCCCGCCTTGCAAGTCAGAGTTCAGGGTGCTGGTGATCAAGTGGGCATCTATGCTCTACTGGACCTCGTTCACCTCTGCTATGGTTATTCTCATATACTTCTACAGTGTCGTGCGGTGGTATTCTTTTATCACAATTGTCTTCTTTGTGCTGCAAGAGAAAATATTTGGCGGACTTGAAGTCATTGAGCTTGTATGTTACCGGTTCTTATGGAAACGACTAAGTGGCAAGAAAAAAGATTGAGAATATAGGATTCACGGGCCAGAAATCTGAGGGATTTTTTTAAAAAATGTTCTACATACAGCCTTTGTAAACTGAAAAGATTTTTTTGCATGAAAATTTCAAATCTTTCTTACTACCATCGTTCTTTGTTAAAGACATTTTGCACACTTGATTTTGTGAAAAGGAAAAAAAAAACAGATGTTGCTCTATATAGAAATTGTTTTTAATCTCAGAATGTAATTTTAATATCTTTTCAGCAAGGAGATGCAGTAGTGAAATAATTCTTGCTGGATTATTAAACAATCATTAGGCTGTTAATAGGCAAGGTACATAATGGATTTGTAAACTCCAGTCCTGTCATCTAGCCAAACTGTGTAGCCAAAGGAGATAGATCTATGACTTGTAATCTCTAGCACAAATCACGTCTCTTCACTGAAGAGTGAAGGCAGGTTACCTCATTCATGTGAGTTGTCTCTTTCTTACCTTTTCCTCTACATTGCTTTGACCATCATTTTCCCAAAAGCCATGCTCAATCCAGATTTCTCTGAGCTCCTTGCTGAAACTTCCTGCCCCCCTTAGATTAGTCAAAAGATTTGACAACTGATCAACACAAAGAATGTGGTAATTTATAAGAGGCTAATATTTTTGATGAACTACAGAGTGAAAAACCATGTGTGCCCTTCTGCCCATGAAGGGAACCGGGGCTGCGAGTAAAACAGAGGCTTTACCAACTTCAAAACCTCAATATGAATTTTGTAATTAGAAATTTTGCTTCATTTTGTTGTTATTATTGTATGATCAGTGCCAGTTTTCCTTCATATATTGGTAATTGGTACCTTTTTGCCCCTAAGGGTGGCCTCTATGAAAAAAAAAAAAACATATACTGCTACCTTTTTCTTCCCCCCTCCCCCACCCCCCCCAAAAAAATAAAAGCAGAGTACAATCTGAAATTAACAAACTATGGATTCTCAAGTGTTTCTGAAAGCCTACAGAAAAGGCAAGGCTGTGTTCCTGTCTTTGAATAAAAATCTTAGTTTAGCTCTTAAAAAAAAAAGCCTTAACAAAGGCAGTTATTAGTAATAGCCCAGATTACATGACAAGAGAATTTCCCATCATATCCCTGACAAGTGAAACTACTTTTTTGACCTAGTGCCATGGAACTCATTAGCAACACTGTTCCATAGCTTGACTTCTTTTTGTCTCAGGCCACCTCTTTCAATAGCAGCATTTAGACTTGCCCTTGACCAGTTTATTCAGCTAAATAAATGTTGCCACCAGTGGAAAGTCCAAGGAACCAACAACATAAACTTTCAGTCTCTTTATGAGGCAAGAAAAGCTCTGTACTTTCTTCCTTTATGAGCATCTGGCTCATCTTCCATAATATGGAGATGGTGGACACAGGAATGAAAATGTGAAGCAAGTAAAGTCATTGGCTGTTAGCAAATCCAATGGCTTTATTTAGCCTCCACAATCATTCACTGCATTGTGTACTTTGTTCACTGGAGTTTGTCTTTATCCTATAGAAAAGGGAAGGCTACGTTTCCTCTCCATGCATAAAAATCTGAGTTTAGCCCTTTAAAAAAAAAAAGTCTTAAAAGCAGTTATGAGTAATAGCCAAAATTAGAAACAAAAGAATTTCCCATCAAATCCCTAACAATTCAGACTATGCTTAGTTAAAACTTTTTGTGCTAGACAGTGGCTTCTACTCCAGGTTTTAACTTTGTTCTGCAATTAAAGGGGTAAACACATAGTAAGTATAGCTTACTGAGCAAATTCTTGCAGAAGTACCTGTCCTACTAGAAAGAACATTGATGGAAAATCATTTTTGTTAGAAAACAGCAACAGAAAAATCCACCCGAGTATATCAGCTGTGCCTTCTGTAGAAAAACTAGTCTATGTTGAACTATCTCCTCTCACCCTATGACAGCTGCTTTTAATTCCCTGCACAAAGCTACTAATTAGTTATTACACACATGTGCTGACAGCCATCTGTTTAACTTCATGGAGGTTTTTTTGTTTTTATTTTATTTTCAGGTTGAAGGGAAGTTTACCTTTTTTCCATTATAAAAGTGGTTTCTAATTTAGGGTTGTCTCAGACTTCCTTTGGCTGTATTTAGAAACTCAGAAAGAGTTTGACAGTTGGGATTGCTGTGTTGTAGGTGCAAAGGAAAAGGCTATACTTTCTGTCCTGAAGGTGTTTATAATATAGTCTTTGTAAGCTGAAATCATTGCTACTGTCCAAAGCTATGTAGCTCCCTGTCTGAGGAACATTTTCCATCTAATGTGATGCACTTTCAATTCTGAACCTTGCAAAGAAAAACACTTTTTTTCCACAGAAGATATTTTTAAAATAAACTATAAGCCTTTAAAAAAAAAGAATTAACAAAACCTAGAGTTCAGAATCAGAAGTTACCAACACCCACACGAGGGAGAAACCGTTTTTACAAGGCATTGGGGCGGGGTTGGTGGAGAGAAAATGAAATAAACAGTTTTTGCCTGGAAAAAACAGCATTCCAGTTCCCTTTTTGAACTGGAGAAAAGAAATTTTTTTTCTCTACATTTTTCATCTTTTAAAAACATTTTCATTTTAAATATATTTTTTGAAAATGTTAAAGCAATTAATACTTGTTTGTAATATCCCATTGCTTTTGGAATGACTCAGAAAAATTAATATGAAAATGGCAAAGATGCATCCTTATGCATACATATATCTTGAGACCTTCTGTCTTCCACAGTCCCCCACCTTGGTGCTCTAGAAACAGAGCAGCTTCTTTCTGGGCTGCATTACAGTTCAGAGGTCATATTCTCTTAATCTGTAAAAGGTACAGTTGACGGCCTCGGAAATTATTATAATTTAGTTGTCCAAATGTTCAACTTTAAAATTGCCATTCTGTGAAAATTTAAATACATAAAAGTCAGCGTGTTTTATCCAGGGCATGCATGGACCATGATTTCCTCCAAGACCCACAAGAAAAGTTACTAAGTAAGACTCCTTTTTCCAGACCTGAATGGATTATCAGCAAAAACACAAGACAGAATACCTCGTTAATTTGAATATTCATTGAAAGTACATGGTAAAGGATGAGCATTTGTGAACTGTAAGGGGGAGAGGGATGTGTAAGAAAGACCTCCTTTTAAAGGCTTCATATCAAATTTTATATGTTACTTTGTTAGTAAAATTTAGAATGCAAAAATAATACTCCACTTAGAATGCCTTACAGTTAGGTCGATTAGAAATCGGAGTTATTCTAAGCCTTACTGTGAAAGAAAGGGGTGTTCTGTGAGCTGATCGTTCATCAAAAATATATTGGAGATGTGACCTCCTGCTGTCTTTGCGCAGTCTCTAAGCTCTGGTCTCAACAGCCATGCCCTTGTGCACTTTACAGCAGGTTCCACTGGGGGAACTTGTTGGTGGATTGTTTACATTTCTTTGTATAAATGACATTCTTTTAGTGCCTTGGTTAAAGATCTGGTTTAGTTACAGGTATTTCTGTACTACGTCCCTTAGACAGAGGTTTCTTTTTATTAACTGATAGGGAAAAAAAAACAAACAACAAACCTGTTTAGGCTTGTGGTCTCTAAACACTTGTTACTGTTGTTGGTAAACATCATTTTGTGGCAACATTTGGGTGACAGCTTAAATCCATGGCATTTATTGACTTGTTTCTGTGATCAGTGATATAGGCTGCATAAACGAATTTGTCAATGACTGTGCGGCCTTTACTTTAAATTTCGTTTTCAGAAAGGATTCTTGTTTTGGACTGCTTGATCTTATAAGAGGATTGTATGAAAAATACCAAGATATGAAAACTCACAGAATGGCCTTAGTTTTCATCATCCATGAAATATGTTAAGATGTTTGTGAGTCATATATCAGTCATGTATCATACATCACAAAATAAAATGGAATACTTAAACAATGTTTGTGTGTGTCTGTGTTTCTGGTTTGTCCAGAGTGAAGTGAATTACATTCTGAAAGAGATAATTTTGTTTTCCATCATCTAGCCTGAAGTACCTCTTTTTAAGAAAATAATATTACTGTTAAGCCTCTCAAGTTTCTCAGTACAGTTACTGAGCAGATTTTATTTTTTAAATTTTCTCATGACATCTTTATTCTTTTTAGCAGCGTAACTACATAAAATTCATCATACCCTCAAGCATTTATCTTTGTTTACATCTTGTCAAAATAATTTCATTTTCAATCAACTTATAAACATTTTATGAGATCTTTCATGAATTTGCTCCCAATAAGGATAATAACTAATATTTAAATAAGCGCTTTAAAGTTTGCAAGGCACACTACATTAACTCATTTGAGCCTTACGGGCATCCTGTACTACAGAGATTTTGTCCCACCCAGTTTTACTTTGATATATGCCAACTAGTTTTTAAAGGTGTATATGTTATCGAGCGAATTGACTTGGGTTCAAATCCTGGCTCTCTCACCCATTCACCATTTTATTTATATTGTTTCATTTTTATTTTCCTCAGTTGCTACATCTGGAAAATTAGAATATTGTTTAGTTGCGTCCGACTCTTCGTGACCCTATTTGGGGTTTTCTTGGCAAAGATACTGGAGTGGTTTGCCATTTCCTTCTGCAGCTCATTTTACAGATGAGGAAACTGAGGCAAACAGGGTTAAGTGACTTGCCCAGGGTCACATAGCTACTAAGTGTCTAAGGCCAGTTTTGAATTCAGGAAGCTGAGTCTTCCTGACTCCGGGCCTGGTACTCTGTCCATTTCCCCACTTATCTGCCTCTGTGAGAATATTAGCACCTGCCTTTACTCACCTAATAGCACTAGTCTGGAGGATAGGCATTGTCATTGAGGGAGAGAAGAGAATACTGAGGAAGATTTTGATGCAAATGTAGGAGGTGGATGGGTGGAGGAGGAGGAGAGGAATAAATAACGTAAATGGTGTGAGGCTGTGCACAAGCTGAAGGACAGTGGAAGAAGCAAGTGTAGCTGCTAGGAAGGAAAACAGAAATGTTCACTTACTTGGGGAGGGGGAAGAAAAAAGAAATAGATTTTTTAAAGGGGGAAACTATAGGAGAGTTGGGGGTGGATGGGGAAGAAAAATCCAGATAATTGTCAGTCCTCTGTTTCTCTTTCCCCATGCAAGGGAATGAGTTCAGACGCCAAACTGACAAAGAAATCCATGTTACAATGGAAATGGACATAGTCCTGGTGTCATCACGGTAAAGCAAGTCATCAGCGTCCTACCCAAGGGATGTGCACAAACTGTGCAGAAATGGAGAGATAAGGAATTTTAGCTCAGAGGAAACATTCAAAGAATGTGAGCCCATCTGCAGGATTCCATGCTCATGTCAGGAATCACAGCTGTGTCTTGTATATTATGTCCTGTTATCAAAGTTTTGACTTTGATCTGATTTTTTTTTAATCAGAAAAGAAGATTGCTTACCCCAACAAAATGTCAGAATGGCATAGGAACCCAGAAAAATTACCAACTTACACGTAGGAATGCTTTTAAAGAGAACAGCTAGTTGGCATAGTGGCACAGATTGCCAGGCCTGGAGTCAGGAAATTCATCTTCCTGAGTTCAAATCCAACCTCAGACACTTAACTATCTGGGTGACCCTGAGCAAGTCACTTAATCTTGTTTGCCTCAGTTTCCTCATGTAAAATGAGCTGGAGAAGGAAATGCAAACCACTCCATTATCTTTGCCAAGAAAACCCCAAATGGGGTTACCAGAAGTCAGATAGGACTGAACAGCAACTTTGAAGGACCTTATTGAACTCTAAAAGCTAGATACTACTCTAGGAATTCTCTTCAAGATCAGTCTAGGCCTGACCTATGCCCTGATTACTACTCTGGACTTGCTTTCCTCAAGTCATTCTTGATCACAGCAATACCTATCCGGACACATTACAAATCAAAACCTCTTTGGGCCTCCTGGTTAATGTGTAACTGGGTGGGGAGAGGGAGCTGGCACTCAAAATAGTTCATCTCCATTTTCCACAGTATTCTAGATGTTTGGGGAGTTTAAGCACATTGTAGAAAGTACATATAAATGGAGGAGTCTCCATCTTCCCATACTCCGTTCTAGTGGGAGAGGTCCCTTTGTGCCGTTTTAACTTTGTAGGAATTAATCTACATTATAACTCCAAGGTTATAATGATTCATCTCCCACTGCTAATTCAATTTAACCCCAATTCAAGCCTCTTGACTGAATTATTGCAATACCCTAAATGGTCTTCAGTCCCTCAGTCAAACCTCCATCCATCATGTACGCTTTTCTTTCTTAAACCTCTGATCTGGTTATCAGATGAGAGAATGTTAGAGGTAGAAGAAACCTTAAAGGTCATCTAGTCCAAACCCCATCACTTTACAGATAGGGAAACTGAGGCTCAGAGGGGGAAAGTGATTTGCCCAAGATTGAACAGGTAGACTCTCTAACTCTAATCTACATGCTGAGGTTGGGGGGTAGGGGGGCTCATCTGAAGAGAGGGTTAATTGTGGGATGTCTCATTAGCAGCTTGCTCTGACATTAGATCAACTTGAGTATTATTATGGTGTTTCTGTTATTTATAAAATATCCACGAAACAAGATTAGAATCCAAATTGAATTAGTCACAGTGTTTTAGAGCATCTGATTTCTTCATTGTCCCATGTGGAAATTAAGGCCTAGCGAGGTCAAGCACATTCCTTAAGGCCATAGAGCAGATTAGTTGCAAAGTGGCAGTGATATTAGACTGGACACGTCTTCCTCTTAGCACTACAGGACAGTGCTCAGCATTTGTTTGTTTGGTGGTTGGTGTTTTGGGCACCGTTTCATTTCTTCACTGGGATAGAGCACTAGGCTTTCAGTCAGGAAGATCTGAGTTCAAATCCTGACTCAGACACTTAGAAGCTGTGTGTTCATAGAGAAACCACTTAACATCTACCAGCCTCAGTTCCCTCATCTGTAAGATGAATAAGTTGGACTCAGTAGCCTCTGAGTCCAGTTCTAAATCTAAGACCCTAATTCTAAGGCATTTTGAGAGATATCATCCCCTCCTTAAACACATTTAAGAACTCTCCATTGCCTACAACATACAGCCCAACCAAACTCCTTAGCATGGCAGTCAAGATGTTCCATGATCTGGCCACAATTTGCCTTTTTTTTTTTTCAGTTTTTACCTTCAACTCTTCCCCCTATACAAAATCTACATACTTTTGCATGGGCAGTTGCACTCACGTAGAATGTCCTCTCTCCTCAATTGGTCAGTCAGCAATCACGTATTAAAGCACTATGTACCTAGAACTATCTTAATTCTGAGAATACGAGGACAAAAACGAAACATTGTCTTCCCTCAAAATGCTTACATTTTATCAGCAGTGACCACATACAAAGATAGAAATGTCTACAAAATAAATGCCAGATAATGGGAAGTGGAGGGAGGCCCTAGTGATTGGGGCGGTGAAGGAAGGCCTTGAACGATAGTGTCCAAATTTACTGGGACAAAGTCAAAAAAATTACTGATATACATCATTACAACTTTTTTCATCTCCAAAACAACATGAAATACGTTCTTTTGTTTTGATCATTTGTCTTAAAGGATTTTGCATAGAGTTCTCAACATCCTGACATATTTTAAAATTTATAATGAAACCACACTTTTTATCACATTTGACTATTAAGTATATCTCTCATGAACAGTCTATTTTCTCCATTCCAGCCTTGATTTATAGCCCACAGGACTTAAATGAGGTTTAAATCAGGTTGATTTCCAGTCTATTGGAGATTGTTCATATCTGTTTCTTCAATAAACTTCTTAAGCTTCCTTGATGCATGGTAGACACAGCACAAGGTCGTATTCAATTTCTAGTTGAGACTTTTTGTAATTCAAGAATAATTCTGCTTCAGTTTATCAATATGTTTATCAGTGTTCATCATTCTTTCAATAAGAACAAGAATTTCATTGGAAGTAAAAAAGTCCTCAAAATATTTTAGTGTGGCTATTTTTCAGTCTAATGAAGATGTTCAAATCTTACAGACCTAGCTGCACTTTTGACAACAGGTTTGGTATAATGTTGAATGAAAAAAGGTAAGTAAAAAGGTTGGTAAATTTTTCTTTTTCCTATCTTCAGTATTTTAAACTTTATTTGGATTGCTCGTGACAATTCACTATCTGCTGAGTTCCAGGAATACCTAAGAAATCTATAAATACTGTGAAATGAATTATTTTTATAATAGTCAATGTATATGTAATGAATATACTAATAGATTCGATTTTTCAGAATTACCTATTCTAGCTTGTGAGTCAGACTCACAATGCAACCTGAACTGATCCATCAAACTTTGACAATGTTAACAATCACTGGCATCGCTAACTGTGTACCCTAAGTAAAGCAAATCAAAGATTGTAGAACCTGCTCCCATCACAGAACTCTGTTCCTGTGACCCACCAAGTAATGACCCCCAAAAGCTTGAACAATGCTGTTCGCACAGAACGTCAGTACCTTAGTATTGCGGGATTTGTGGGCTGGTCCTGGGAAACCACTTTGACCCTGGGAAACCATGCTTTCCACCTTCCACCCTCCCTTCCCACTTGTGATTTATGTATATAATCTCTGTCTTCACTTCAGCAAGGTGGAATTCTGATCAGGAGAATTCCTGATTTCCAATCTGTTCCTCATAATATAATGAATTAAAGGGCTACCTGATCACTGGCACTTTGTCTCTTGCCTGCTGTTTCCTTGTTCTCAGGTTAGAGATTGACTCAGTAAAATCCGGTTAACCATACCATGTGATGACGATAGATACTCTCCACCTTTGTAAGTATCTTCAGCATTCTGCTAATTGGGGTCTTCAAACCAAAACTCCTCCATCAGCTTAGGTCTGTTCTGTTCATTCTATACCTGGAAACACACATACACATATATTGAAATAATGGTTATTGGTTCTACCCCTGCGGC